AGAGTATTACATCGTTTTCGCTTTTAGTTTAGTTTAGTTATATTGCTTATTCATCCCTTTCTACATTCACGAGGAAAGCTGAGATCTTAAATCATTTTTAATTCCCAATTTCTAATATCACCCACGTGTGCACACCAACACCACCCCAACGTCCCCAGTTAAGTTTTTTAAAGAAACATTTATTTATTATATTCAGCCAATAGCCCACAAACGTGTAAAATAAACGGTCAAACTCCATGACTGTCAAATACGGTATCCGGCAGCAATAGAGAGAAAGCTTTACCTTCTGCAATGATTACTTCATATTCAACAATATACTCCTATGTGCTAGCCTCAAAACTACCACTAATTTTTTCATTGTAAAGCACAGCATATGTGTGTTTTCCGGCATGATCTCGTCAGCTGAAGTTTGTCTGTGGGTGGATTTCCTGCCCGCACCCCTCCCCTGCAGCCGGTAAATGATACAGGCCCTGTTGTTAGAGCATCATATCCGCTTGACAGCTATTTATACCACGTATTTAAGCTAGGATCAGCGTGCAAAAGCTTCTGTTACTTCGCCACTGGTCGATCAGTAGAGAAAGAGACAGAGATCGAGCCACACACACACATACACAGTGCCAACATGCCCAAGTGTCCGAAATGCCAGAAGGAGGTGTATTTTGGTGAGTGTTGGTTATAGTTTTTGTTTGAGTCGCGTAGAAATGTCAGGCGAGCGATACAAACCTAACTTTTCTTAGCGCAAAGAGAATCCGTATGCACCCACGTTTACGTGACATTGACCTAAGAATTAATGGGGTTCTTATACTTATATTAATTATACTTGCGTATTGAAAGACATCCACAACGGGATATGTGTTCCATACAACTGCAACATTCTAATACTGTGTATATGGCAATGATGTTTAACTATCATTGTATCGATAGTGTGTTAGTATAGTCCGAGATTACTCTGACCAATGCCCACACCGACGATTTTAGTGGATTTGGTGTGGGTTAGGTAAATAGGGTTAGGTACCCTAACCCACACCAAATCCACCAAAATCGTCGGTGTGGGCATGGGCAAAGGAATCTCGGACTAGTGTGTTAGATGAGAATTGCTCTCACACGCCAATCAGGAACCTGTGTGATGATAGGGAAGGAAGGGAGAAGGAAAAATTGACAAACGGTCATAGAGACAGAGAGGAAGAGAGCGAGAGAACGCAAGAGTAAAACAGATAGAAATTAAGAGAGAGCGAGCGAGAGAGAGAAAGCTAGTGACAGAGAAAAACACAGAGAGAGAGGGAGAAATAAAAAGAGAGAGAGAGAGAGAGATGAGATAAGTTCTTATAGTGACAGGAGAGAAAAGACAGAATTAGAGAGAGAGAGAGAGGAGAGCTCTAGAGCTCTAGGAGAGAGAGCTGTCATAGAGAGCCTAGAAGAGCTGCTAGAGAGAGAGAGAGAGAAGAGAGAGAGCAGAGTAGAGAGAGAGAGAGGCAGAGAAAGCCAAGAAAGAGGAAAGCAGAAGAGAAGGAAAAGAAAGAAGGAAAGAAAGAGAAATAGAAGAGAGAGAGAGAAGCAAGTCTAACTCGGAAAAATCTGCTCTCTCAAATTATCCTCATGCGTGACCGAGAGAGAGTTGACGCGGACAGCGACAGCTCTCGTCGCTCACACATCAGTAACGGGACCATTGCAGACACCACGCCTCTCTATCTCCGTCGGCCCCAGCCGCGGTTACACATCCCACACAGAGCTATCACAGAGCAACTACTGCACCCATATCCGTGTGACAAACAACATATACGTGGCCGACGGGCCCGCAAGCAAATATCCCTACGACGTAACAGCCAACTGAACATACCACGCATGGTCTATAAAGTAGTAATCGGCGCGAGTATATAGGCCGCTAGCAAGCGATGGCTACCCACTGCATAACGGCATGCATCGGCGGTAGAAGTGCTCACTAGCAAGGTACATTAGAAGAACTCTATTCATGCCTATCTACTATGCAAGATAGCGGGTATGAAGAAATGCGCTATTCTTAGAATGCCATTCTTATACGCTCTTGGCTATTATCGTCATGGTTTATTGTGACTAAGTTGATTCTTTATATATCACATCATAATCATATCATTTCATTTATTATTTTTGCGTAATATTTCCTTGGGAGCATGTTTACCGCCAGGACGTTGGTGTTTGTTCGAATATCGGATGACGTTTCATCCGACTGGCTCGGACAGATACGTACGATGATAGCTAGTATAGTATATATATACTATACTATATATATAGTATAATTATGTACTTAGTACCGCTTAACGTAAAATTTAAGCAATCCCACCAAGTGCGATCGAACACAGATGCGATTGCTGTCCGGATTGCTTAATAAGGCAATAGACAGGCAATCTCAAGACCTTGATCCTAAGCAATTCGCGACAGGCCGAGCAAGTTGCGACCGACTGATCCTAAGCAATCGGACAAGGGAGGCAAGCGGAGACATCGATCCTAAGCCAATTCGACAAGCAATCGAGACTGATCTAACCCAAGACTGATCTTAAGCAATCGAGGACTGATCCTACAGTCAATCAAGACTGATCCTTATAGCAATCGGGAGACTGATCGCTAACTAACGTCAAGACTGATCCTAAGCTATCGAGATCTGATCCTGAGAAGCATCGACAATGTGCACTCGAGAAGATATGTCAACGATGTTGAGAGTCAAGACTGCATCCAAGACCGATGCAAGCAAGATCAAGACTGATCACCACAGACGCAATCAACAAGCAATTTAAGACTGATCCAGATTGATCAACAAATTCAAGGACCGATGCGAGCAAGCAGGCAATCCAATGCGGTCACTTACTTTTAAAATAGAGTGCCCGTGGGATACAGCTCGTTGGACAGCACCATACGCCATAGCGCTAATCAGCGGTGGTTAACCGGCGAATCCACTTCATGTTGGGTATATATAGCTGCGCAGCCGCGTGTACATAAAAGGGGGCAGCGGAATTGGGTAATGTGATCGAGCTAGGTAAGGAGGCAGGAGAGGATGGAGGGCAGGAGGAGAGGAGTGAGCACCAGATATAGGGGAAGGTCGAAACAGGTGGGATGTGGAGCAGGAGGGGGAATGGAGAAGGTGGTGGATTGGGATGATAGAGAAGCGGAAAAAAGAAACTGGGGGTATGTATGGTGGCGCGTGGGGAAAGCTCTAGCGTAGAGGTAACTCTAAGGGCCGTCCGCGTACATCTTTGTATTTCTTCCATGTATGCACTATCTCTAGTATACGAAGCATCATAACTTCATGCTAATAACAGCGATGTTTATAATTAATACTATATAGGGCAAAGTCCAAGCAACCAAGCTTCACCAACTCAGCAGCGCGTCACTACTAGCCCCATGTTCCTGATTGACGCTAGGAAAAAAATCACGCCTACGGGTTCGGTGGAGGGGCCGTACCGGCCTGAGAGGTGCTTCGAGACGACACGGGTTACGGTAGTCCATGGCGTTGCTTTCGCGCACCAAACCTAATGCCCCCCCGTTGAAATTAATTCACGGACTTAATTAATCTCTAGCCTAATAGATTCTAATAAATCTAATTATTTTAAATTATTACATTAATATAATTTAGGCTATAGCCTACCACTAGTTTTTGTGTTGGAATATGGGATTTGTCAGTTCAAGGGACCGGCGGGGAGGGGGAGGAGACGCAAATATTCCGCAAAGCAAAAGTTAACATCCGGCATAGATTGCCTTCTCCTCACTCCTGTTTTTTAGTAGCGAGCGAGTATGTAAGGGATGGGGCGAGCGAGACCGAAGTTAGTGGGTTAGGGAGAAGGAAGGCAAGCGCCATTTTCAAAGTAATGGCAGCGATTGAGCTTAAGCGAGTTCATTGATTGCTTAAGCAACTACGTCGACTCTCACTTAGGACTGATCAAAGGCAGTCAAATGATTGCTAAGGAGATGAAAGCGCTCGAATGTGTGCAGGAGGAATAGCTGGTAAGGCATGATCGTCGATTGCTTAATAAGGCAAATGCGGCGACTGGGGGATCGGGGCGTTAAGCAATCGGATCGATGGCCGGTACCCGATGCCGTGCATTCCCCGGCGATCTGATGATCGGTGCCACCAAGCGGGCCCGGGACTTGCCGTATTGAGGCAATAGAGAGAATCGGTCCCGCCCCCTGGAGGTGGTGCTTATTATGCCGATCAGAAGATGAGCGTCCCGCGCGAGAGGCAAACTCGATGAATGGTCGCTGATTGCTTTATAGCAATTGCAAGATAAGCGATGCCTCTCACCGGCATTGAGTGCTATATTTGAAGCACTCGTCTGATTCGCTGTGGATTGCTTGCTGATTGCTTAATATTTGTTGTAAGGGTATAAAAGAGCCTATTGTTAGCATGATATCAGTGGCGGCGTCAACGCTGTTCAGCCGGGTTATATGTTCCGTTGGTGATATCAGAGATCTCACACAGCAGATCAATGCGACAATTAACAGCCTTCGCGCGAAATGCTTAATGACTCCGGGATTTCACCATTACTACGAGTACGGGTTACAGAGAAATAGATAGGGGCAAAAGACAGTAGAGAGGGCGTGGGAGAAGAGAAGAAAGAGAGAGAACGAGAGAAAGAGAGAGGCGCGAAGAAAGAGAAAGCAGAGGAAGGAGAAGCCAAGAGAGACAGAGAGCAGAAGGAGAGAGAGAGAGGCGCGCGAAGTCAGAGAAAAGAATTGCGAGAGAGAGAGAAGAGAGAGAAGAGAGAGAGAAGTAGAGAAAAGAGAGAGGAGAAGAGAGAGAGAGAGAGCGAGGAGAGAGAGAGAGAGAGGACGGGAAGGCGAGCGCGAACGATATAAGAACGTCGTATAGGTCGTCTACACTATCACATTACCGCGCCAGAATAGGTTAGGTCAGGAGAAGCCACTACTACAAGGGAGGGGGTCTGTAACAGGCCCGCCGCGCAACAGCAAGGTACGACCGCCTCTCTGTCCGGCCGCAGCCCTGTTCACAACATCACACAGTCTGTATATCTGCCCTGACATGTGTTAGCGCATCTGTCACACAGACACAACCACATGCTGCTTGGTCTCACACTAGGGTGCGTGAGGACGTAACATCTGCCGATTGAGATGCGCGCGCAGCTGAGCAAGCGGCGCCGGCGTGTGTGGTGTGTGTGTGTGTGTGTGTGTCGTTTGCTGTTGTGGCTGTGTTTGTGTGCGTGCGTGCGCGTCGCGCCGTCGCGCGTGTGTATGTCTGTGGACATGTCCTGTGTGTGTGTGTGCGTGCGTGCGTGCGTGCTTGCGTGTGTAAACAGCGAGAAAACAACAATTATGTTTGTTTTACAGCCGAGAAGAAGACGTCGTTGGGAAAGGACTGGCACAAGCTCTGCCTCAAGTGTGAGAAATGCAACAAGATTCTTTCCTCTGGCCAGCACGCAGAGGTGGGCCACCGCTCGCAAAAGTGATACATGCTTGCTGTACGTGCGAAGCTAGTGCCTCTACTAGCTACTACTGTTGCATGCTCTCAAACCTAGCCACTATGTCCAATCGTCGTCACGCATAGCGATAGACAACGACTTGGACATAGTGCTAGGTTTGAGAGCATGCAACGGTAGTAGTAGAGGCACTATAGCTTCGCACGTACAGCAAGCATGTATCACTTTTATTCTACCCCGTTAATCATGTCCATTCAAAGTACGACCCAACCGAGCCAGCCAGTCTCATTAGTTTTCGCTCCAGCACTTCACCTTTCATATTTCATCGTACTAACCGGTTCCTACTCTTTCCCTCCATCTGTAAAGCGCCCACGAAACCATACTAATCCATACTAATCCATACTAATCCATACTAATCCATACTAATACCATACTAATAAACCTTCACCACCACAAGCAGCAATGGAAGACAAGACATTCGCTAGAGGCGTCCGCACGACAACTACCCGACTGGCCGTGGGATTAGGACGAGGACGCCCCATCCACTGCCATATGACATATTCGGGCAGCATCCATTGCGACCTTCGACGCCGAACGAGAGGTTTATGCCCCGCACCCTAGTTTTGGCGAGCAGATCCAGACCATACAGCCGAAATCCTGCCCAGGGAACCCACCTTAAGAAGAGACATCGGGAGGACATCACTGCACTGGAGGTGGCGCTTGCGAGTGCCAACGCTGCATGCGCAGAGGCCGAGAGGATGGCTGACCGCCAGATGCACGCGTCCACCAACCTGCTGACCGACATAGCCAGGCATGCACAGTCGTTACAGACAAACCTGGACCACGCCCGGATCGACTTCAACCAGGTTCTCTGTGAGAAGCAGCAACATAACATTCAACTGCAGAATTCGCACTCTAGCGTCGACCAGATGACGATAGAATTCAGCAGCACAGTAGCCGAGAAATCCCAACTGCAGTGCGAGCTGTGCATCGCCCGCAACAATCGAGCCACATGTCGCCCGTGAGGTCCTACAGGACACTTTCACGTACCTTCCTGCTGGGGCCACAACGCCAGACCACGACTAAGGACATCAACAGCACCATACCTTCCACCAATTTTCCGCCAATTTTACCCTACCCACCCACTACGCCGAGACCAATTTTAAGCACTTGTACTGTCACCACCACTTATCCACCACCACCTATCCACCTCCACCACCATCCACCACCCACCACCAGGCCTATAACCAGAACTAACCCAATAGCATATCAGCCATGGTTAGATCGATGAACTAACCAGGGAAGATGGAACTGGGTGGGATGGTCTAACTGGAGGTTCTCTTGAGAAAACTGTCAAAGTATTCCAGAACCAACGACAACCACGAACTGACCATGGCGCCGATACCGTTCACGAACACGGGCGAAGGGGTGTTCAGCCTCTTCATTATTATATACACATAGACACATGTCTTAGCTATACTCTCTGTAAATTTTGAGTTTATTGAAGCACGATTAGTCTAATTAATTACTACGGACCATTGTACAGTGTATCCATACAGCGCTGTACTTAAGCGGCATGCAGCGGTGTGGATCCATTTGGAAACAACATGGCGTCCAGCGATCACGTGACCGATTATTTCCGACTCGTCATGTCGCAACTCTTTGTATATAGGGACCCTAGTGTACTCATCCCTCTGTTGCTTGATTGTATCAGGAGTCTATTGATTGTATGTGTATTGTGAAACCCGTATTCTACCCTGTGTGACTTGTACGACTTTTGTAAGTATAAAATATAGTGAAACGGCAGTTTGTAAACTACATCCCTCTACTCTCATTTTATTATCGTATTCGTAAGTTTAGTCACGCAATTACACGGCGCATAATAGCACGCAAGCTACAGCGTACAGTTGTCTGGCAGCCGAAATTATCCAGCGATTACATTAGCTTTACCATATAATGTATATAATATAATATATAATATATAAATAAATAAATAGAATAATAAATATATATTATGATATAATAAATAAAATATATATTATTATATATATATACTATATATATATATATATAATACTATATATATATATATATAATATTATATATATATATTTATTTATTATTTCATGTATATTATGACACCATTTACATCAGTCAGAAATCCTTAGTTATTTATCCTCTTTGTGAATATATCACTATCAGAGATAACGATGCGACAAAAAGAATCCGCCATAAAAAATAATTCGCATATTCTAGCAACAGAGATTGTTTACATGTTGTTGTTTTTTGCCCCTAAGAATGTTTTTGTTTTGTATATTGAAGCTTTGATGGTTTGTCTAGGCATGATGGGAAGCCGTTATGCATCAGCCGTGCTATTCAGCTATTGTTGTCCCTGAGAGGTAAAGTTCACACATAGATGCCATCACTATTCCTCACCAATTATTTGATAAAAAAACCCACACACGCCAGCGCGCCACACGCACACGCACGCGCACACGCATGCACACACACAAACACGCACGCACGCACACACACACACAAACACGCACGCACGCACGACGCACACACACACATAAATTAATAGGCAAATTCTTATTTATTTTTTAATTTAATAAAATATTAACGTGTGTATTTTCTTCAGATGGTTTCCGAACTGCTTCTGATGTTTCTGTGTGATGCATGGGCCCCCCTCCCCCCCCCCCCCCCCCCCCCCCCCCCCCCCCCCCCCCCTGGTGTGGCGTGGCCCGCGCAGCGGAGAGGTCCATGTCTACTAGCAGCTGTCTGTGTGATGATTGGCAGCGTTGATGGCGTTGGCGGGAGCGGAGGTCATGTCTATAGCAGACTGTTCTGTGATGATGATTGGCAGGTTGTGCGGCGTGAGCGGCAGCAGAGAGGCTCATGCTCTATAGCAGCTGTTCTGTGTGATGATTGGCAGGTTGTGGGCGTGGCGGAGCGGAGAGTCATGTCTACTAGCAGCTGTTCTGTGTGATGATTGGCAGGTTGTGGGCGTGGCGGAGCGGAGAGTCATGTCTACTAGCAGCTGCATCTAGCGTATCCGATTATAACATCCCGCCACCCAAACGGAAATGCAACTACTACATGACGTCACGACACACCGGCAACAGCAACAAGAGGATTCTAAATAATTAGTACTATAATAATTAGTACTATAATAATTAGTACTATAATAATTAGTACTATAATAATTAGTACTATAATAATGACTCCATGTAGGAGTTCAGACGTGGAGTAACTAATGCAAGACAAGGCAGGATAAATGTGCCGCGTTAGACTGATAGATTGTTCTGATGTGCTATTTTGCTAAAGTTAGCTATCCAAATAAAATGTTCAGCTGATGGTATATCAACATAATTGTTCTTGCATTTCATGACAACATCCACACGCACAAACGCACTCATGCACGCACATACACATAACTCATACACGCGCACACATACATACTCACGAGTGTACACGTACACGCGCACACACACACGCACGCACGCACGCACGCACACACACACACACACACACACACACACAACTTACCATCGCACGGTGGGAGGGGGCACGCCCTGGGTGACGTCACATCGCAGTTCCGCCTCCCCGCCCACGGGCACGTGCACCAATCTCTGTGGTATGTCGATTGTTGGCTCCTCTGTGACGCAAGAAAATCAAATCGACCAACGCGGTTAGACATACACGGTCGATATACATACGATCATGAGACGATAAATTACGATAAAATATATTTATACGGTAAAATACGCAATCCATACTCATATCATATCACATCATCCAGTGTTATAGCGTATATTCCTCGGTATAAGGTGCTACCATTGTTTCAAAAGCTGATTTGTAACAAACATCACCTAAATAATAGATATTATCTTCCATCAACTATGAGTACGTATTAGGATAGTAAAAACATCGCGATGTTAATACTAAACGTCCATTGTGAATAGAAAGCATATCGGTACAAGCTTTGTAGAGAGATTCGAATTGTGTTCTGTTAGTTTGTCTGATTATAATCTGTGGAATGATAGCTTGACATTGCTTTATAAGTTATCCACGTTGGGATACGGTTACAAAGATTGAATGTAAACTATTTATTCAACATTCATTTTTTCACATTATTTCACGTAGAAGACCGATGATTTTTATCTCCACCTGTGATGCTTTAAACGTGTTACAAGAGGGATATTACCGAAGAGCGTACAACCTGGCATCTTACGCCATCTAGTGGTGACACAAGTCGACGAAAAGAAAAGTCAAAGAACAGCTAACAGTAAGAGTAGAGCTAGGTCGTGCTCTAACTTAGAGGGTAAACGTAGAAATTTCATGGAATCAGGACATTGGCTAATAAGCCCAGCATTTTTCGAGGTGGCGCAAACCTCCTTTAAGTGAGTGAGACGATGGGATCATCAGCGACCTCTATGGGTGATAATTCGCGACATGTTGCTGGCTTCAACCAACGATAGGGGGCGCTTGTACCGCCCTCTATGAGCGGCGATAATAAGTAATACTTATTAGGCATATATCTATAATCAGAAGCCAATATTGCAAACATACGAAGCCCCCAAAACACAGTTGTCAACAGCGTACATTCAGTGAACCGTAAACACAGCTGATGAATATGACATAGATAGTAACAAGAGCTAATATAATACCTTCTAGACTCGCAGGCAAAGTAGAATAATGTTGTCGTGAAATAGCACTATTTTCCCGTTTTTCCGTTGTACACTCTAGGTACTATTAGCTCTTGATAGTAACAGGAGTCTATCAAATGATAGACTATCGATTGATGGACTCCTGATCGTACCAATGAACTTGAGCAGTGCCGGCTTTGTATCGATGCCTGCTTCGTTTTTTCCCACACAGTGGTAGATGCCCGCATCCTCTTCCTTAGCATCCAGAATGACGAGCGTACCGCTGTTCACTATCATCCGGTCGGTGGAGTTAAGCCGCCTGTCATCCTGAACATATAAATAAATAAAAATGTGCAAAAATATGTAAAGATATAATGATAGCACGCTCTTGCTCTCGCTCTCTCTCTCTCTCTTTTTCTCTTTCTTTCTCTCTCGACAGCTATCTCTATCTATCTATCTATCCTATCTATATCTTTATATCTATCTATCTATCTATCTATCTATCTATCTATCTACTTATCTATCTATCTATCTCTCTCTATATATATATATATATATATATATATATATATATATTTACGCCATTCACCTATCCTACACTCTCTTTCTTGCTCTGTACACTTCCCCCTCTATCTAAAATAGCCGACAGCTAGTACAACTATTACGCCAGGGGCGTAGCTACGGGGGGGGGGGCACATGCAAATTTTCTGTGCCCCCCCCAGGTGCCCCCACTGAAAATTCATGCTGATAAAAAAAAAATTGAATTAAAACAATGCCGTTAGAAACAGTCATATATAACAAAGAAAAAGTTATATAGTGTGCCCCCCCCCCAGGAAAATGTAAGGCCCCCTAGTGCCCCCTGCTGAAAAATCCTAGCTACGCCACTGTATACGCAGCAGACGTACGGATGAGTTGGCCCCAGTAGGAGGTAGGTGTAGGGATCCGTACACCAGACATGTGAGAATCCAGCGTGTCTCCCTCTCTGTAACTCTGCTCGGATGGACTGATCGTCACTTTTGGTAGCTCTACAGGGAAAGAAATAATGAAATAAATCATAACTCATGAAAAAAAAAAGAAAAATAAAAGTATAATGAGAGCACTTCCAAAATCCCCATCAATAGAAAAGGTGATTAAACATTGAGAAAGTATTAATTAGGATAACAACCGAAATTGGCCCTATAGGGTATATAATAACAGCAATATTCTAGCCCCCCTCAGTCTTTACGTGTGCGTAAAAAGAGTGCGCTATTTTCTACTAATTATGTTTTAACTTAAATTAAACACATGTAACTCTACGAAACAGCAACCAGTTTTATATTACGACACATTGCATGTTGCATATATTGCCCTAGATGTGTAAAGAAAAAGATGATAGAAATAGTCTCGTTGCGATCTTACCCGCACTCATCAAGTCTCCTGCGGCAAAATAAACACAGAATAAACTTTGTCATGTTTTCTAACACATGGCAAACTTGTCAAATAATTAAAACAATACTACAAATTTTAATTTTTTTATAGAATTTTTAACTCATAGAAATGAATGCATGTTAATTAACATCTCCATCCTCAACCAATAAATCATCCTTAATAAAACTTAAATAATAATTATGTACTTAATATTAATTAATATTTACATACTTACATATTACTAATATACATATGATATACATGTACATCGTACATTAAACATAAACATATACATATACAGACAGGATAGATAATAGAAGATTATATCTTCTATTTATCTACATCCTGATATGTATTATGTATATACATATGTACATATTTATTATTAAGTTTTATTAAAGGTTATTTATTGTTATAAGTTGTAATATATAGTAGATTATACTAATAGTACTTAATATTAATTACTTAATATAAATATAAACTTAATAAAATAACCCTATGGTTAGTCAACCTTGTATCTGTAGGTAGAATTTCGCCTGCGCGACCCGCCTCGTTCTCGGGCGCGCGAACAGACGTAGTTTCCCTCGTCCCTCCCTGCTAGCGTGAAGCAGCTCCTATGGAAACCGTTGCATGGTGATGACACGGTGACTACTGCTTACAGCAACCATCCACCACGGCCGACGAACGAAAACAAGAGACAGACGCGTTACACAACTAAACGTTGCACGGTATATTACGACGCATTTTACATAATAATAGTAATAATAACAACAATATTATATTATTAAGAATAATATTAACAATAATAATATTATTATTATTATATTTATTTATATTTATTACTTAATATTTATTATTTTAACAAATATAAATATTAAGATTGCATGTTGAAGCATAATAGGACTCCTAATAAGCACGCGTTTCACTCTCTGCGTAATGACGGGTTTGCAAACACAGCTGATCGTGACGTAATTAAATAATCAAGTGCTAATTTGCAAGCAACAACAATTAATGTACTGCTAACAGCCAGAGAGGCTTCCCACACTCACGATCTGATTGGGTCCTGCGCTCCCTGTCGTACCACGTGACGTTATTACGGACAGCGCTACTGACGTCACAGTTCAACAAATGAACGTTGTACCAGTCTTTGCCGTAAGCGTTGATTCGGTCCGCTGTATGCGTGGAGCATGCGCTATGGGGAGGGAGGCAATTACAAAATGCTGTATAGTAGAGATATGAGTGAGGAGTAATGCAAATGTGTACGTAGAGATATGAGAGAGGAGTAATGCAAATGTGTAGTAGAGATACTGAGTGAGGAGTCAAATGCAAGAATGTGTAGTAGAAGATATGAGTGAAGAGTATATGCGAAAAATGTGTAGTAGAGATATTGAGTGAGGAGTAATGCAAAATGGTGTAGTAGAAGATTATGAGTGAAGAGTAATGCAAATGTGTAGTAGAGATATGAGTGAAGAGTAATGCAAATGTGTAGTAGAGAATAATGAGTGGAAGAGTAATCCGAATGTGTAGCTAGAGATTGAGGGAGGAATAATGATATACGACAGAATGCCAACGGTATAACAGATATCGCATATACTGGTTTAACTCATAGAAACTAGGACAAATAGGAAAGAT